ATTTTACCTTGATAGTTATGTTCATAAGTCAATATAACATCATTTTTATTACAGTCATAAGTTTTCACTATCTTATATATAGAGTCAATTTTTAAAAAACGTTATTCTACTATAACTTTTCAAACACTACTGGTTACCTCTAAGCTGGTGTTTCCTAATTTAGATGTTCATCTTAATTAAACCCATCCAAAAAACAACCTCCCTAAGAGTAAACTTAGTAATAATATTAATAAATTTTGGATAAGGAAAAAAAAATCTTGATTATATAATTGATAATATTTTTTATTTTGTTATTTGTGCATTAAAGAAAGTATACAAATTGAAAGAAATATAATATAGGAAATATATAATATATTATAATATGTAAGAATTACCATTACGTCCAGGATACGAGGAGTTCCCTCATGCTTCACCTGCGTCCGATACAAACGATCCTGCACATTCGAACGACGTCGTCTGGTTAGTAGTATCCACGAAGTAGTAAGACCAGTAACAACAGCAGCATCGATACATCCTCGATACCTAACGTTACTTTCCAAGTACTTTTTCTATAAAAAAAAAACCCGCACAACTATCGTACAACCAACCAAAAAGAAAGGGAAAAAGCACTTTTGGCAAAGCAACGACGACGACGACGACGACGAGGGAAAAGCATAAAAAGAAGAAAAAAAAAAACAAACGGTAAACGATATATAGATATATCTATATATGTATATATATATATATAGTAAGAAGAACTGCACAGTTTTCTAACACGAATAAAAGTAATCCTTCTTCAGCTTTCTCTTTCACGATCTCTTCCTCCTACTACTATTATTATTTTCCTCCCTTTAAAAGTCCTGTTCGTTATGGTGTTTTTTTCTTTTTTTTATCTTTTCACATGACGCACGTTCTTCGTTGATTAATTTTTACTATTAGAAATTGAATATTTTCATCTTCGATGATTGACGGTCACTCTCACACGACTGAAATATTAAAAAACACAAAAGGGTTGTTGTATAATGTTGGTTAGATATTATTTTGTATTTGAATAACCGAGAAAAGAAATTGAAATTTTGGGATAATATGATGTGTCAGTGATATATTATGTGATTGTCTGCAATCAAGTGTGTATACGTACATGTATATGCGTGTGTATATTATGTATGTATGTATGTATGTAAAAAAAAAACAAACAAAAAGATATATAAAAAGAAAAATAGATAGAAATATAGAAAGAAGAGTAAGAAAAGTCACGCGAAAAAATGGGGGTTGATGAGTAGTACAACACGGGGTGAGATGCACACTGCTCTCCAGCGGCAGTTGACGCGACACTAGAGAAAATCGGAGTTCGCTTGCCGCCACAGGACTCAGAACGCCTGCGCTCTTTCCTTCTGAGCAAGAACGGAACACACGAGACAGCAGCACGCCAACACAACCGAACCACGCCAACACCATGCCATGCCATGCCATACAATGCCATGCCATGCCATGCCGCGCCGGCAAATTTCCAAGCAACGTAGCCACCACCGACGCCACCACCGTTTACTTCACAGAATAGTATAGAACCAGTGCTACTCCGGATTTCGGAGATGTAACCAATGCCAACGTCGTTCCTAATCTCTTTTTCATCTTCTTTTTTTCCGCTTTTTACCTATCTATTTCTTTACGAATTTTTACGAAAGGGTAGTTTCAATTCGTTATTTTATTGTTTCTTTTTTTTCTAATTATATAGGAAATATAATTTAAAAAAAAAGGAATAAATTTTTTCACAAATATATAGAGGTATATTTGTTATAGAATTTTAGATAACAATGTATATGTAAAATTTAGTTTTTGTGTGTGCCTTCAGAAATGCCTTTGTATTATACATATATATATATTTTTAAAAGTAGCCAATATTATAAGTGCAAGTAGAAGAAAATCAAAACGAGTAGAAGTTAAATCCAACGATGATCACCTGTAACAAAAAGAAAAATATATTAATCATACAATTAAGCGAGATACAATAGCCTGACATATAAATCGTCCAATTCGCAGATGCACTTTTCAATTGAATTCTCTATTTACTTTTATCAAATCTCTAATTATCGTTGTAATAAAATTAAATTTAAACGCGTGATTTTACATTTACATAATATATATAAAAAAAAAAGAAAAAGTAGAAATATAAGGTTACTAAAAAAAAATAATATCTAATAATTATTATAAAATACTTTTAAATTGCATTATATTATAGAAAATAAAAATTGCAAATTTAATAAAATACGATAACAGTTAAAAATCTTAAAGACGAAACAAGAAAAGAGAAATTACTTTAATATGTACCGAACGTTAATTAAGTTGTCAAATTTAATAATAAAAGAATTTAAATATTTTTGACTCTAACTAAATACCTATGCATCTTTTCGACGATTTTGACGGACACAAATTTGGTGTCCCAAGGAGATGGAATGGTCCATCATCTCCAATTACAACTACAAATTAATGACGAGCAAAAAAGTAATATAATAAAATATAAAATATGACTAGAGAGCTATTCTCAAAAAGTTCAAACTTGCTGTTGAACCTTTGAAAATAACACAATAGTCTGTGTAGTTGCCCACTTGATACCACATTTAAATGGGGGCCTCTTCGGCCTTAGCCTCTTCGGCATTAGCCTCTTCTTTCTTCATTTCCTGAAAACTGCATTGGACATTTTCTAAGTACAAGAAAAATAAGATCTCTCATACTACGTTTGCAAACTAACTCGTATTTTT